CAGCCCCCTCCCCCCCGCAAGCCTTCGCTGCGTTTCTACTGTGTTCGCCACTGTTTCTTACTCATTCCTGGAGGCCTCACGTCTTTGCTTGCCTTCCCCACGCTCTCTTCCCTCCTTCCCTGTTGTGTTTTTTCCCATGACTGCCATCTGACATATTATAAATTTATTTCCTTATTGCCTGTTTCTCCTGCCCCATAGAATGTAAGAACCAGGAGGGCAGAGAGTTTTGTCATTTGTTTATTTTATTGTTTCTAGCACCTATGCGCCTAGCACATAGTAGGGACCCCCTAATTAATTGTTCTATGAATGAGCAATGAATGCGTGAATGAGGGAGTGAATAATGATCTTTTTTTTACTGATCTTTTTAGAGAGAGAGGAACGGAGAGGGAGAGAGAGAGAAATATCGATGAGAGAGAACCATTGATTGGCTGCCTCCTGCACGCCCCACAACCCGAGCATGTGCCCTGACTGGGAATCAAACCCAAACCGGTGACCCCTCGGTGCATGGGAGGTCAACCCAACCAACTGAGCCACACCGGCTGGGGCTGAATTATAACCTGTTATCGTTATTTGTTTTTCCAATATTTTCCCCATGTCTCTCACTTGCCTTTACCTTTGTTTATGGCAAGTTTGATCAGATGGAAAATTTTAATTTATATGAGGTCAAACCTGTTAGTCCTTTCACACATGCTTTTGTGTTCCGCATTTTGCTTAAGGCCTTTTTTTAATCTCAAAGTTATAAACAAATTCTGGTATGTATTTTCCCTAATCCTTGTATATTTTGGTTTTATTTTAAGTGACTTCTTCCTCATGAATGCATTTGGTGAATGATATGAGAATGGATTGCCAGCTGTCCTGTTGCTGTGTATTACAGTCCAGTCTTAGCTCTGTTGCTTCTAAAAGCCACCTTTATCACTAACTGGGCTTCGGGACTGTCTCGTTGGTTCCAGCCATCCATTTGTCCATTAGTATGCCAGGAACACACTTATAAAATCACTGGGCTTTTATAGTTTCTTTTCTTTTCTTTTTTTATTTCTTACNATTTATTATTTATTTTTTAAAGTTTTTTGTTGTAGTTTATTTTTATATCAAGTGGGACAACTCCCCCCTCCTTGTTCTTTAAAATATATATATATATATATTTGAGAGATTTTATATATATATATATATATTTGAGAGAGAGGAAGGGAGAGGGAGAGAGAGATAGAAACATCAGTGATGAGAGAGTCATTGATCAGCTGCCTCCTGCACACCCCCTGCTGGGGATCGAGCCCGCAACCCGGGCATGTGCCCCGACTGGGATTCGAACCGCAATCGCCTGGGTCCTAGGTCGATGCTCAACCGCTGAGCCATGCTGGCCGGGACCCTCTCCATCTCTTAATCTGCAAAGNGGGATCGAGCCCGCAACCCGGGCATGTGCCCTGACTGGGATTCGAACCTCGATTGCCTGGGTCCTAGGTCGATGCTCGACCATTGAGCCATGCCGGCCGGGCCCCTCTCCATCTCTTAATCTGCAAAAATGTCTTTGCTTTTTTTGTACATTTTCTCTTTTAAGTGAATATGAAAACCAGCGTGTCAGGTCCCATGAAAACATCTTGTAACTTGGGGCTGAGGTACATTTACCGATCAAGTCAGGTAGGACACGGCATCTTTATGTTCCTGGGCCGGACACAAGGATCTGTAGAGTTCGCTCCATCCTGTCCTCCAGCCAGATGTTACAGCCATCTGCCTGTGGGTTTTACACACTCCTGTTAGGCCTGTTTCTTGGTGTTTTCCAGTGTCTGTCGATATTTGGGAAGGCATAGCTCTGTTGCAGTTTCTCGTTGCCTTTCCCAGTGTGTGGAAAGGCAACGGTTCCTGGCTGACCTCCCTTTTTAGTTCTCATACATGTCCGATGCTTCTTAGATTTTTCTCGTGGGCAGTTGTATTTTCTGCAAGTAACAATGGTTAGGCTCCCCCCCACATCTCTCACATCTCAGTGAGGCCCAGGGCCCCCCAGCACAGCCCGCAGCCGTTCCCGGGGCGCTTCCCTCGCTCCTCTTGCAGATTCGCCCTCAAGCACAATGTTTGCTGGAGTTGAGAAGGCTTCTGTTCTTCATTTCTGCTTCTAGGATTCCACTTTTCTATTGTCTCGGTGAATGTGAGATGGCGTTAGGCTTTAGACAGCCTGCGCGGTGTGACAGGGACTTCGGCCGGGCGCAGGGCTGCCCAGGATAACTGAAGCCTTTCTTGCAGTTGCGTGTGGCCAGGTGACTACATTCTGGCCATTGGGGTATAAGCAGAAGTTACTGCAACTTTCTGGAGGTGCCTTTAACGTTTTTAAGGGGCACGTCTTTCTTTGCCCTTTCCTCTGCTGGCTGGACCGCCGACAGGACCTGGAGTGGCCGGCTGGGACTATATGGTGGCCGTGCACTGCAGAGCCACAGGATGGAAGGGCCCAGGCTTTTTGATGCTTAAAGGAGGCGAGCCTCCAGGCCAGCCGAGTACCTACATCCCAGCTTACGCCCGAGCTACTGTTCCATCAGCCCAACCCAACGCCCGCTAACACACCTGAGTGCCGACAGGGGATGACACAGTCAGACTTACATTTTAGAAAGTTCATTCCGGCTGCTATGCGGAGAACGGACAGGCAGGAACCGGGTTGGAGGTGGGGTCTGTCAGTCCCCTTCGGCCACAGGCCACCGGGAACACACCTGTAGTTGAACAAGCCGGCTTGTTTGCAGACAGAGAGAACCCCCCCCTCAACCTTAAGGAAACCATCGGACATCTCAGTGAGAGGATGTTAGAAAAAACCTGTTACAGAGTCCAGCTGTCCCTGTGACTCGCTTTGACAAAGCCAGAGAAGCAGGCTCCACCTCTTGATGGCAGAGCAGCAACATGTGTTACTGTTGCCTCCACAGGCCAGTCCTGCATCTGGGGCTGGAGGGCAAGGGCGTCCCTGAGCCCCATGAGCGCTGGGGCTATGCAGAGGGGTCACCTCATGGGTCACAGGGGGACCCAGCCACTGCGCAGACCTTGGCGCCACGGCAGTGAGGGAGTGGGGGCTAAGCACCCAGACTCTCCTGCTCTCCCTTTGCCAGCTGGCACCTCCTGGCTGATCCTTAGGAGGCCGAGGGCCAGGGAGCCCAGGTGAGGTGTCCACACAGATTGGAGCAGAGAGGGAGGAGCCTGGAAGAGGGGGGCCAACAGAGCAGCCAGCATAGATAGCCATGCGTCCCAGAGCATGGTGGCCCTGGGTGTAAAAGCTGCTCCACAAACTTGTTGAGTGAATATCACAGGGGCCCCCGGCCCAGGCTCGACCCCTCTGATGTGTGTGTCTGGGGTCTGGTAGCCCTGGTTCCCCCAGGGAAATTCCAGGGTGGATGAAAGAGGTACAAGAGGTGGTGGGCCCAAAACAGAGTGGGTGACCCCCCACAGGATCCAGGGGGCCTTAAAGGGCCAAGAGCTTGAGGAGGGTCTGAGGGAAGGTTTGTCCTTGGCTGTGGGAGAGTGACCACACGGGGCAGCGAAGGCAGCCCTGTGCCCGGGGAGCGGTGGGGAAGGGAGAAAGGCCTTTTCTGGGGTCTTGGCATAGGTGGGGGCTGCCCCGCATCCGAGGAGGCCAGCGCACTTTCCCACGCTCATGAGTCTGTTGTTCCCTAATTATTTACATTATTTACCGAAGGCAGCCCTTCACAGTTTCCAAAATGCTTTCCTGAATGGTGATACATTCAATTCTTGAAACAGGCAGGTGGGCTGTGCTGCTCTGGCCCCCGGGGCCCAGGGGCGGCTGAGGCTGGGGTGACTCACTGGGACACCCTCCAGCCCACACCGAGGGACTGCCCAGCAGGGCTGCCTGGGAAGGGGAAGGCGCTGTTGTTGGTGTATAAGAAGTTTCTGTTTCCCTTGCCTGGGCTGTGGGGAGCTGCTTCCCCGCCATGACCTGTCACCCTTACCGGGCTCAGTCTGGGGGAGCTGCCCTGGCTCGCTGGTTCCATGGCCTCTCCTTAGTGCTTTTAGGCTGCTGGACACTGCCTTGCCGGTGACCCTAGACCCATGTGGCCACCCCCAGCTTGGGCAGATACCAGTCCTGGGCCCCTGGGGCTCTGGCTAGGGAGGCGGAGATCATGGAGGAGAAGCCCAGTGGCTGCTCTGTGACCTGCTCCACAGCCCCACTGCCCAGCTTGGCTCTGGGGGTGCCGCTCCGTAGTTGGGCATAGGGGCCATGGAGGAGCTCTGCAGAGGAGTGGAGGGAAGGGAGTGCTGCTCCAAGGCAGCCTGAACAAAACCTTTCTTGCCCCACCAGCCCGATGCCCTGGATGTGGCCTTGCAGGACTCACTTTCCCTCTCTGGGCCTGTTTCCTCATATGAAAAGTAGGGCTGATGAAAGTCCCTGGGATGAGCGAGGCCTGGGTGAAGCAAAGCCGAGAAGGAAGGAGCCCTCTGCACCCCCCTCCTTGACTGTAGTCTTATGCCTGGCGCTGAGCCGCAGCGGATCCCAGAGGGGCAGGTGGGCCAGCGGCAGCCTGAGTAGAGAGACTCCAGCGGGACAGGTGCCCTCCCAACTGCATGCCTTTCTGGCTGCTGCACAGGACACTTCTCCAGGACACTATTCTCTTGCCCTTCAGGGGGTCCTCCTGTGGGCCCTGGGCGTCCCTCCCTCACCCTCAGCACTCAGACCATCGTGGGGGAG